ATATGGAGTCTCACTTTGTCGCCAGGCTGGAGGGCAGTGGCACAATCTCGGCTCACTGCAACCTCCACCTCCCAGGTTCAAGCAATTCTCCTGCCTCAGCCTACCCAGCAGCTGGGACCACAGGCATGCGCCACCACGCCCAGATAATTTTTGTATTTTTAGTAGAGACTGGGTTTCACCATGTTGGCCAGAATGGTCTCAATTTGCTGACCTCGTGATCCACCCGGCTGAGCCTCCCTAAGTGCCAAGATTACAGGCATGAACCATCACATCTGGCCAACTCACACATTCTTTTAAAGTTCAGACCCTAGAGGACTATGGAACCCAATACAGTCTAGCACAAACCCATGAGTGCATAAAGTGTCACACGCATGCCAATCAAGTCCACAGGCCTGCTATAAAGAAGTGCACCTTTCAATGAGCTACCTGGAAAGGCGCACCTACACTTGCCAGGGTGCACTGGTCGACTGTCATTGAGCATTGATTATGATTCAAACTGGATTCAAACTTTCACATTTCCTCTCAACAATTTCTAATTTTCTCAGGCAAAACAAAACTAAACCGAAAAACATAGAAAAACACAAAAATAGACAGAGTAGGCATCCAGGAAAAGTGAAAGGAGTGAAGCGAAATGCAATTCTGGATTACACTGTGAACAGTCAGAGCACAGGCGGTGCCATCCCCCGGGACTGGGAAAAGAACAGTCTAGTTAAAAGCAAAGAAGGAACATCTTCTATCGTCCTGTAGGGAGGATTCTTATGGAAGAGCAGACTTGCCAAAACACTCAGAAGTCTGTTCCACAGAAAAAAACTGTGTTCAGTTCTGTCACGGCTGCCGTGACTGCCAAGAGGAAGGGCAGAGGAGGGAAGGTCTGTCATAGAACCAAAGACCACATTCAAAAAACAATTTCTCGATCCACAGACTTACTTCCAACCAGGAAAAGCACCAGGAAAGACATTTAGTAATTCACAAGCTCGGCTGAGTAGAAAAGTAAAGATGGCAGTGGTGTAGCTAGCCCCCAAGGTCAAAAGTGGAAAATGTTTGCTATGGGCCAGGCAGAAGGCGCTCTGAGAAGCTTCACCCACAGGATTTGCTGGGCACTCCCAAGACAAGGGTGAGCAGAGCTCTGTCTCCAACCAGGAAACAATCAGACTGTGTGAAGTAGGAAAGACCACAGACAAACCTCTCGAACATGGAACTAGGAAGGAAGTGGTGATTTATTCGGTCACTGGGTGGTGATTTATTCAGCCGAGAGCTGCGGCGGCATAGATGCCTAACAACCAAGCTCCCCAACAAAGAAAATCCTTACCCTTTTAAAGGGTCACAGCTGGGCCAGGCGCAGTGGCTCACGCCTGTAATCCCAGCACTTTGGGAGGCTGATGTGGGCGGATCACGAGGTCAAGAGATTGAGACCATCCTTGCCAACATGGTGAAACCCCATCTCTACTAAAAATACAAAAATTAGCCTGGCATGGTGGCACGCACCTGTGGTCCCAGCTACTCCGGAGGCTGAGGCGGAAGAATTGCTTGAACCCGGGAGGCAGAGGTTGCAGTGAGCTGAGATTGCACCACTGTACTCCAGCCTGGCGACACAGCAAGACTCTGTCTCAAAAAAAAAATAAATAAATAAATAAAAGGGTCACAACTCTAGAAATTACATATGAAAGGGTCCTGGGCTTACAATTCTAGAAATTACAAGTGAAAGGTCTTGATCCATGAAGTAGGCATGGGGCACGTGACTTAGGTGGGGGTTTGATTGTGTTTAAGTAAAAACAATGCCTTCCGGAAAGATTCCTCCATACCGTGCCTGCGATCTACAGGAGTGCAGTAAAGGGTGGCGCCCAGGTCTGCCAGCCTTTACTTCACCTGTTGAAATGCAATGTGGAAGTCTGGGGGGAGGGCTCCTAGAAGCCTAAGAGGATTAAGGGTCTCCTTCCTCATGTGGATCTCTGATCACTGTGGATGGTCTCTAGTTTGATACCCTGTCATTTGTCTCTGCCACTAGTGAACTTTAGAATAAAATGCTCATTCATTTTTATGACTAGAAGAGGCTTCAGAGATTTATCTAATCCACCCCCTCATTTTACTGATGAAGCTTCTCAGACATAGATAGATGAAGGGAATCCAATGTTTCAACTTCTCTGAGAACATGAAGTACAAGTACAGAAACACATTCTGGATCGTTCAGGGTAGCGGTGAATTTGCATATTTGACTTGGTTCTCCCCAGGAGTACACCTGCATTTGTCTGAGCATGGGTTCCAATATGGGATTTGGAAAAATACGATCAATTGATGGCTCAGAAAATAATGTTCAAAAAAATAAAATGTTCACAAAGTCTGGTTTGATATTTGCATACATGGTGAGGTACACAAGCTGGGGAGAAAACAGAATAGAAACATGTCCTACTCCTTTCCTCACTTCTTACCTTTTATGGACATATGTGTTTTGAGGGAGAATCTGCTCATCTGAAGAGCTTTTTTTTTTTTTTTTTTTTGAGGCCGAGTCTTTCTCTGTCTTCCAGGCTGGTTCAGCTCACTGCAACATCTGCCTCCTGGGTTCAAGCAATTCTCCTGCCTCCACCTCCCAAGTAGCTGGGTTTACAGACATGCACCACTATGCCTGGCTAATTTTTATATTTTTATTAGAGACAGGGTTTCACCATGTTTGGCCAGGCTGGTCTCGAATTCCTGGCCTCATGTGATTCACCTGCCTTAGCGTCCCAAAGTGCTGGGATCACAAGCGTGAGCCACCACGCCCAGCCACACGTGAGCTATTGATAAAGGTGACAATAAGAAAAAATATAAATAGTGAAGAGAGGGCAAGAAGTGCATGTACATAGAATAAAGTGAATTAGAATGTAGCAGGTCACTTAGAATCTTCATGACTGTAATAGCTTAAGAGTGCTCTTTGAAAAACTTACCTAAACCTATTAGATCCACTTAGCTTCACTAGTGGTTGGGGCGGGGAGAGTGTGCATGAGAGATGCTAGAGAAGAAGACAGAAGACAGTGAAAGAGACTGCTGCCCAAAGGCCACAGCAGCAGCTGGGAGAGGGCATCTGTGACAGCAGATATCTAGCCCTCCCAGAAAGAAGGGCTGGCGGAGATTCTCCTTCCTCCAGGAAGCTGCTTCCTCCACTCCAGAGGAGGAGAGAGCTTCTCGGAGTCTTCCCTGGGGTCGGACGTGGGTGGAATTAAAGAAGCGGGAGGGAAATAAAACAGCAAAGAAATCTCAGGAGTCCTCTTTCTGTAAGGAAAGTAAAATCCACAGTAAACTCAGGAAACCCCTTTAAAGAGAGCAGAAGAGAATAGCAAGCCTTTGTATTAGGCGCAGCTCTGTTTACACTGAAAATAGAAACAGGCAAACTAAATTGCCTGCAGGTTGCCTTTCTCCTTCCTTATTCTTTCTTCCTTCATGCAGTGCTTAACTATGCAAACATCCGGATCCTAAAAGGATATTAAATATTGGTTGATGGAGTCTTGAAATCCAGGAGCAACCCAGAAATGTTTACAAAGGGTGTCTGAGAAACTCCTAATTTTAAAAGCATTGTAAGTTTAGTATTCCTCAGATAAAGAAAGGTAACCAGAACCTGTAAACCTTTCTTACACTAAATAATAAAACATTACTTGGTCCTAAAAATGTAAGCAGTGATTTGGGGATGTTTTCTCATATGATTGGCGTTATAGACAATATTAGAGATAAATTTATTACTAGTTAAGGAAAAAAGTTTTTTTAGTATTACCTTTTCCCCAACTACACAATTAAAAGGGGGTGTGTGTTAACAGAGCTAGTTCAGACAAGGAGCTTGCTCACTACTTAAACTTTCTGTCCCCGTGGTATCTTTTCATTCACTGGGCTGTTAAATGCATCATGTACCTGGGGGCTTTTTAAAAATGAATGCTGCCTCCTCCATTTTGCGGAAAGCAATGAGAACGGAAGCACCGGAACACCTGCATTCTATCAATGAAGGGATTGAGAGGAGACTGAAGCGCGAGAGCTAGCAAATTTGAATTTGTACATTCAGCTATTGCCTGTGTGTCCTCTGTCTCCAAACCCATATTCATCTTCTGAAACGGGCAGCTGAAAACCCATCACTTTTGGCTGCTTTTTTTTGTTTTTGTTTTTGTATTTTTCTTTCCCAGTAGAGGTTCAATGTGAGGGAATTATGAGTCTTCTGGTCATTGTGTGTGCATGTGAGCAGAGGGTATTATTTACTGTGGACTCAAATATAATTTTTTGCGTACCTGTTTCTCCTCAAACAGCTTCATTATTGTATGCTTGCTATACAATACTTGCTACTTGACAAGCAACCCCATGTACTTATTATCTTCAAAATCCAAGCAAATAGCAAAAGGCTCACCACAGAAAAAACAAATGGGTTGTTTTTTTGTTTGTTTGTTTGTTTGTTTGTTTTTGAGATAGAGTCTCACTCTGTTGCCAGACTGGAATACAGTGGCATGATTTCGGCTCACTGCAACCTCTGCCTATCGGATTTAAGCGATTCTCCTGCCTCAGCCTCCCCAGTAGCTGCAACTATAGGCGGGTGCCATCACACCCAGCTAATTTTCCAATTTTCCTATTTTTAGTAGAGACAGGGTTTCACCATGTTGACCAGGATGGTGTCGATCTCTTGACCTTGTGATCCACCCTCCTCGGCCTCCCAAAGTGCTGATATTGCAGGCGTGAGCCACTGCACCTGGCCATGGATTGCTTTTTTTTTTTTTTTTTTTTTTTTAATGAACCATTGAATGAATGCGTGAATACCATTTTTTGTCTCTAATTGAACCTGCTTGTAAGCCCTACATAGTGCCAATAGATCCTACAAATTCGCATTCCATATTGGCAACTCCATCTGCTATTGTTTGATTTGGGAGCTGATCTATTTACGCAATGAAAATATACTGAAATATAAACAGAAATATCTTACTTCTGTACGTTTTGGGTTGTAACCATTCACCACGTATTACAACAGTCTTTTCTTTTCTTCTTGACTCCTCCAGGACAGAACATTATTCCATTCTGTGAGCAACAGCTGCATGGATTGCAACCCCGCAGAGAAGAAGATTTTCATGGCCAGATGTGACCCTCTCTCTGAGACTCAGCAGTGGATTTTTGAACACATTAATATGACTGTTTTAGAAAAATTTAACCACCATGCCAGCTCCTAGAAAGAAAGAAGGAAGAAAGAGTGATTACCTACAGATTATAAATGAAATTTTAGCCAGCATCTGGGTCAAAGGAGTCAGGAATAACATTTCCTCGATCCAGGAAGGCTGGTTTAAAAATCTGTAAATGCCATGTTAAAGTAGGTTGTTTTGAAGAACTTCCTGCATCTGAAGAACTTGGCTGAGAATCTCACCAGCTGCTTCTGAGAGCTCGAGACTAGCAGTTCCCTTGCTGGCCAAGGGCAAAGATTATTTAGGGACTTTTCAAAACAACTGCTGAGCTAATAAATCCTAGCATTTCTCAGGTCAAATCCTGCAGTAGTGAGTAGCTATGAATGGATCCTATTAAATGGGTGGGAGGGGGGTGAAAATGGAGTGCATGACTGCTCTGACAACCTGAGGGTATCACAGGTTTAGAACTAGCCACGCTTAAGGGGTGAGCTGTACTCTTTGGTGCCATTCTCTGACTAAGAATGGGTTAAGCAGGTTTAACCCTTAAAAGTGCTGCAGATGATTTCAGAGTGCTCATACCATTCTGGTTTCTTTTGCTTTATTTTTAAATGAGGGTGCAATATCTAATGTAAGACTCAAACTACATAATGAAATGGACATCCAGTGATCACATTCTTTCATTTATATTTGCTGTTTTCCTTTCAGAGCAAAGGTTTCTTATTGTTCGTGAAAATTCATGCTCCATGAATCCACTGAATTTCTAATTCAATGCCCTTCTATGAATCCAGTTAAAAACAACAAAAAAACTACTCTATCAAGTTACTCCAAAGAAAGATTTCACAGAAGCAGCAAAACCATATAAGATTTAGGAGAGGGACTTCCCTGGGAAATCTATTTTTACTTTTCTATTATTTTTAAAATCTTAAAAGTCTGATATTTGTCCGGTCATAATTTTTATTAAGCAAGGAAATGGAGTGAGGTTGATGTAATTTGTTTAGGAGATTCCTCAACCCAAATAAATCTACACTCCAAGTGATGTGTGAAAACGGCTTGGTTCACTTTAATTCTGTTTAGTCAGTGGTGGGAGCTTAGAAGTGGTTTTGTTTGTTCGTTTATTTATTTGGGTTTTTAAAATTGTTGTTCTTTTGTAGTGTTGATATGAATGATGTTCTTTTCTTTGGAAGCTCATAAAAGGGATTACCGTTAATAAAGTGTTTCTGACACCATTTTCTGTTAATGGGACAATATTTCGGGGATGAAGAAAGACATGCTCTGAAAACTAAATGGAACGTTTAATCCTTAAAACAATTTTTTACTGTTCAATAATGTCAGGTTGGGGGAAGAATATACAAGTACTAAGGTGGTCCTCAGGAAGAAAGAATCATTTTTATTATACGTCTCTCAAGTTTTTTTGGTATAACAATGTTTTGACTTTGCTTTTTTGTTTTAAGCTGGTATTCCTGTTAATAAAAATTTATATAACATCTTGGATCTAGAGCATTAAATTTTAGAACTGGGAAGACTCCTAGGATCCAATCCCTTTTTTTCTTCAGATGAATAACAAAAGCCCAGAAAGGCCCAGCTCCTGGCAGGGCTGTCTTCTGACGCCTATTCCTGTGTTTTTACTCTTGTGCTATGTTGCCTTACTCTGTTACCCAAGCTGGTTCTGGATATTACTGTGATTTAACTTGAGATTTTCGGTCACTAGATGAGAGTACTAGGCCTCCCTAGGGATGCCCGCTAAAATAATATTCACATTTAGAAACTTTCATACAGGCCATGAAGCCTCTTCTTGTACATATTCATGATTTTGTAATCTCCTTGAAACCTAATCAAAATGTCTAAACTACCAGGCTAATAGCTGGGGAAGAGTTATTTCATTATCTTTACTGATTTTTCAAGCATTCTTTTGAAGAGCTATTTTTTTTCTTTTTTTTTTTAATTATACTTTAAATTTTGGGATACGTGTGGAGAAAGTGCAGGTTTGTTACATAGGTATACACATGTCATGGTAGTTTGTTGCACCCATCAACCTGTCATCTACATTAGGTATTTCTCCTAATGCTAGCCCACCCCTAGCCTCCCAGCCCCTGGCAGAACCTGGTGTGTGATGTTCCCTTCCCTGTGTCCATGTGTTCTCATTGTTCAGCTCCCACTTATAGTGAGAACATGTAGTGTTTGGTTTTCAGCTCCTCTGTCAGTTTGCTGAGAATGATGGTTTCCAGCTTCACTCATGTCCCTGCAAAAGACATGAACTGATCCTTTTTTATGGCTGCATAGTATTCCATGGTGTATATATGCCACATTTTCTTTATCCAGTCTATCACTGATGGATATTTGGGTTGGTTCCAAGTCTTTGCTATTGTGAACATTGCTGCAATAAACACACATGTGCATGTGTCTTTATAGTAAAAACGATTTATAATCCTTTGGGTATATACCCAGTAATGGGATTGCTGGGTCAAATGGTATTTCTGGTTCTAGATGCTTGAGGAATCACCAGCTGTTTCCACAATGGTAGAACTAATTTACACTCCCACCAACAGTGTAAAAGTGTTCCTATTTCTTCACATCCTCTCCAATATCTGTTGTTTCCTAACTTTTTAATGATTGCCATCCTAACTGGTATGAGATGGTATCTAATTGTGCTTTTGATTTGCATTTCTCTAATGACTAGTGATGATGAGCTTTTTTTCATATGCTTGTTGGATGTATAAATGTCTTCTTTTGAGAAGTATCTGCTCATATCCTTCTCCCACTTTTTGATGGGGTTGTTTTTTTTTCTTGCAAATTGTTTAAGATCTTCGTAGATTCCAGATATTAGCCCTTTGTCAGATGGATAGATAGCAAACATTTTCTCCCATTCTGTAGGTTGCGTGTTCACTCTGATGATAGTTTCTTTTGCTGTGCAGAAGCTCTTTAGTTAATTAAATCCCATTTGTCAATTTTGGCTTTGTTGCCATTGCTTTCATTGTTTTAGTCATGAAGTCTTTGCCCATGCCTATGTCCTAAATGGTATTGTCTAGGTTTTCTTTTGGGTTTTTTATGATTTTAGATCTCACATTTAAGTCTTTCATCCATCTTGAGTTAGTTTTTATATAAGGTATAAGGAAGGAGTCTAGTTTCAGTTTTCTGCATATGGCTAGCCAGTTTTCCCAACACTATGTATTAAACAGGAAATCCTTTGCCCATTGCTTGTCTTTGTAAGGTTTGTCAAAGATCAAAAGGTTGTAGATGTCTAGCATTATTTCTGAGGCCTCTGTTCTGTCCTCTTGTCTGTTTTGGTTACTATATCCTTGCAGTATAGTTTGAAGTCAGGTAGCATGATGCCGCCAGCTTTGTTCTTTTTGTTTTGGATTCTCTTGGCTATATGAGCTCTTTTTTGGTTCCATATGAAATTTAAAGTAGTTGTTTCTAATTCTGTGAAGAAACTCAATGGTAGCTTGATGGGAATATCATTGAATCTATAAATTACTTTGGGCAGTATGGCCATTTTCATGATACTGATTCTTCCTATTCATGAGCATGGAATGTTTTTCCATTTGCTTGTGACTTCTCTTATTTCCTTGAGCAGTAGTTTGTAGTTCTCCTTGAAAAGGTTTTTCACATCCCTTGTTAGTTGTTTTCCTAAGTATTTTATTCTCTTTATAGCAATTGTGAATGGGAGTTCACTCTTGATTTGGCTCTCTGTTTGCCTGTTATTGGTGTATAGGAATGCTTGTGATTTTTGCACATTGATTTTGTATCCTGAGACTTTGCTGAAGGTGCTTATTGGCTTAAGGAGATTTTGGGCTGAGATGACGGGGTTTACTAAATATACAGTCATGTCATCTGCAAACAGAGACAATCTGACTACCTCTCTTCCTATTTGAATACTCCTTATTTCTTTCTCTTGCCTGATTGCCCTAGCCAGAACTTCCAATACTATGTTGAATAGGAGTGGTGAGAGAAGGATCCTTGTCTTGTGCCAGTTTTCAAAGGGAATGCTTCCAGTTTTTGCCCATTCAGTATTATATTGGCTGTGGGTTTGTCATAAATTTGAAGAGCTATTTTTTTAACCTTCTGCCACAGAGATATTTTGTATAGGTCAAGAGATCTTGAAGCATTCAAGATGCATACTGGAGAAAATCAATAGTGAGAAATTAACCTATGTGTTGAACAATTCCAGAGAGTGAGTGAAGATTTATCTCAAGTGTTCAGAGAGCAATCTTGTTGTAGAATTAGATGAGCCTATAAAAATTCACATTATGTCATTAAACAGCTGATTGCTATTTACAATTTTACCAAAGAGACAACTCTGGGTTCTGCACTCTGCAAAGCTTAGATTTGCAATAATCTTGTAGGATGTTATAATCATGGAAAGCTAGCCATAACGTGTTTGGCTCTGTCCTTTGAGAAAGCCTGAATATATTGCATTATTTTGGTGTGACACACAGAGGTCAACCAAGATTGGTCTCTTGATCTCTGAATTTAAAAAATGTAATATTTTGGAGCCTATTTGAGGGTGGAGGGTGAAAAGAGGGAGAGGATCTGGAAAAATAATTTACAGGTACTGGGCTTAATACCTGGGTGATGAAATAATCTGTACAACAAATTCCCATGACACAAGTTTACTTATATAACAAACCTGCATATGTACCTCTGAACTTAGACATTTTTAAAAATTAAATTAAATTTTTAAAATATAATATAAAAATTTTTTATTAAATATAAATTAAGGAACACTTGAGACATTAAGGCCAAAATTAAAACTCCAAACTGTCAAGCAACTGTTAAATGTGTGCAAATGAAATGAAGCCTAGAGAACCTGCCCCTAAGCCAAAGGGCAAAACATTGACAACAAGCATATCTAAGGAGGCATTTCCACTCCACTAAAGGTTGAGACTCTATTTACCTGAAATACCACTACTACCATTCTGAAAAGTAGAAAACTACATATGTTGGTATGTTTTTTTAACAAAGGGAACTGAACAATCCTCAGAAAGATTCTCTTTCATGAAAATAACATGATTTGAAAATTGGACAGTAGAGTACTGACCTACCCTTTTATCAGAACAGTAGGAAAAATCATAATCTGGCCTTGGAAATTGCTACTTCTCCATAATACAACATGGTTTTGCCAGAATAATTAATTTTTAAAATCTTCTTTATGTATTTACAAAGAAAAAGCTGTGCTTTAAAGCAATCATGAAGTAAATGTGGGACTTATGCTTTTTCCAAGGCTGGATTAGTATCTTGGCAATAGCAATGTATTGGCTTCTATGTCTACAAGCATTTACTTAAAAATATTAATATGATCACATAACTATTTTTAAAAGCATTCACTGTATCAGAAGACTCAGTGAATAATGCAAGTTCCAGAATTGCTTTATGAATTGATAACCTAAAACTTTATGCAATAAATGAATAACAGAAAATGAAAATGGATTTACAATCAATGAAAGAGTGTGTTCGGCCCATTCTTCTCAGGTTTCTTGGAAAACATGAAACCCACGCAAACACTTGATATCATTTCGTTAGGAGCAAAGTTTTAAAGGAAGTTAGCCAAATATAAATAAGTAAATCCCTATTAATATTTTGTGCTTATTCTTCTCATAAGGAAAACTTTTATTTCAATCTTTTTATAACTATCTCCATAAGGAATTAGCAAAGCAGAATGCTTTCTTGGAAAAATAAGCACTATGAGATTTATGGCTGATTCATCAAAAAAGTCAGGGCCCAGGTGCCGTGGCTCAAACTATAATCCCAGCACTGTGGGAAGCCAAGGCAGGAGAATCACTTGAGCCCCAGGAGTTCAAGACCAGCCTGGGCAACATAGGGAGAACTCATCTCTACAAAAAAATTTTAAAAAGTTAACCGGCTGTCATAGCATATGCCCATAAATCCCAGCTACTGGGGAGGCTGAGGCAGGAGGATCACTTGAGCCCAGTAGGTTGAGGCTGCAGTGAGCCATGATCGTGCTACTGCACTCCAGCCTAGGTGACAGGATGAGATCCTGTCTTAAAAAAAAAGAAATTCAATGACACCTCAATTACGAAGCCAACAATTCAGCAGTCATGGAGGGTCCCACCTGCCACTGTGGGAAATTCCCGGACCAGGATATCACACACCTAAGGACTCTGGAGGAAGCTGATGACTCCAGAGAAAGTTGACTCTCCCCTGAGGGTGAGTGCTAGGTTATATTTTTTCAGGATTTAGAATCATCCTAACAATATAACATTGTGAACATTGATTTATTCCTAAAAACTCATTTAGTAAAATGTCTTTAGGCTTGTTACCCTGGCAGAATTATAAGGCCGCAATGTGCTTCCATAAACACATGCTGGAGATAGGCTGGAAATAAGGCATTTCTTATAAATCATGAGAAAGCACGCCTCAAAGGGAAAATATTGTTACGTGATTCCCTATGGTTCTGGGAGTACATATAAATGGAGAGAGGTAAATTGTATCTCTCAATGTGGGGCACGCTTCCTCCTCTCCCTTC